TGTCCTGACTTTTTTCCGTCGATCTTTCTAACAAACGGAAATTGGTATTACCAGCCGGATATAATAAATAAATTAGCTATCATATAATCCAAAATTGATACGTATTTAGAAAAAAAATATCGAAAATTTATTTTATTATTGTCAATTTATTGTATATTGTACCTATTCTTTATATTATTCCATTCATAAAATATTTTATCCCAATTCATTTCTTTACTTTCTTTACCCTCTAATGAAATTCACATGAATGCATCTAAAGTAAATGTATTTAAAGAAGTGCGCAAACGTGTTTTAATAATATTTTGTTTAGAAAACCCACGTTCACAATCAACACTTGAAAAAGGAATACTATTGGAAATGTGAACTAGTTTAATAATGTTAGGACAAAGATCCGAATAGTCACGAATTAAAAGAGGAAGTAATTCCTGTGAAGAAAAGGTTAAAAAGTTTGAAAAAATAACATTTTTAAACCCAGACCACTCTATAATACAAGAATCCATATCTATTAACGGTAAGAATTTTTGTCCATTGATAGTTTTTGATATTCCAAAATGATTTAATAAAGTTTGCAATTCAGTATAACCAAATTCTAATAATTCCTCTTTTTTGCATGACCACTCTACTGGATTTGAAATTTTCATTGCTGCAAGTAATAGACGATCCGGAAAACGATCTTTAATTTTAGTAGTTACTATATTTGCATATTCATAAACATCTTGTAGTAAATCATCGTAATCACAGCTATTATATGCAAGTATATGTGTATAATAAGTTACTTCGGATTGATTTTCATTAAATGGATTCGTATGATCAATAAACATTTGAAGATGATAGCTTAGATTTGTATCCATAATATAATCCTTTTGAATATTTGTAATCGTAGCATCAATCATAGGAACAATATCATGAAAATAAAGATTACGTTTTTGAAAAAATTTATTTAACGATGCTAATTGACCTAAGACATCGTAAATAAAATGAAAAAATCCTAGTAATCTCCAAT